ATTTTTTTCAGTAAAATGGATTCAAGTGCAGAACTGAAACGAAAGATAACGAAAACAGCCTATGGATCGTTCAGAGAAATCCGTCTTCACTTGGTTCCGGGACTTGGTTTTCCCAAGAACTTTATTATCGCTACATTTTACGGACATTTTGAAACACTTTTTAACATTCCAGCATGCAACATTTTTATTACAATGTATTACCGATTAAATAAAAATGTTTTTAATGACGTACTCTACATGTATTATTGTTTGATTTCATTACAGTCATGTGCGTTAGAATTTGTGTGTTGTGAGCCTGTAAACTTGAGCACGCCCACACAAGATCGCATATCCGAACTGTTTGCATAACCGAACAAAAAGCATGTTCCCCCAACAGTTCGAATAATCGACGTTCTACTGTATTTAAAAAAAAAAAAAAAAAGACTAAATATCTCTAATTATTAAAGGTTTGAGATCACAGCATACCACTTCAAGATTATGCCGCAAATAGACTTTTAGAATTTTAATGTCCATAGGAAAACTTAGTGCACACACTGCAAACCATGAATTGTACACGTATTACTTTTTGCCAATCATGCATCACCAAGGACATTACACAATGTAAATTTAAATCCAAATTATGGAGGAATACTATACTGACATCTACTGTAAAACATGTTTTTTTCACGAGCATGTCGTTTTAGTGAATTTAGCGAGAGAACTGATTCGCTAATTCAAGATTCGCTAATAACTTTATTATAAATTCAAAATGGCCAAGGATTAGGGATTTGTATACAGTAATTCGGAACATAAAAATCTGGGGCGCTGCTTAATTACACTTGACAGTTTTTCTTTGTTTTTATGGAGGTGATAACTGCGCATTTGTTTTGACACACGACAGACAAGTATTGGAAAAACAGAAAATCAACAATGACAAGAGAGATTCGCTAAATCAACATTTCGCTATTACGTCATTTTGAAACAATTAGCTAAAATTGCATGCGCTCTTTCAACATGTTTTACAGTATATTAGACTTGTTATGCAAATTAGCAACAATGCTATACTTTCTTTCCAGGGAACAAATATAATAAAGACATATGTCGAATGAGTGTACATGCAAATAATCACAATTGTCAAACTGTTGAAAAGAAGCAGTCAACACATTAAAAAAAATTAACACTAGAGGGCGCCTGTATGGACACAAGAGGGCGCTAGACATACCTAAATTCTGATGAAGCTTGAAATGATTCTTGCTCAGTAATTGAAAAGACACATAAAAAACCTTCCCCAGATCGGAAATAATTGTCCCGGATTGCGGCGTAATCTTCTTGCCCTGCTGTGTCTAAGATATCAATCTTTACTTCGTCTCCGTCAAGAATGACCTTTTTACGATAACTGTCTGCTTTGGTGGGTTCGTAATCTTCCACAAACTGCAATAAAAACACACAAGTCAAGTAAGTCATCTATGAAAAGATGCATCAAGGGAAGAAAATGTTGGAAACTAGGAAGTCTAGGTGTTCCGAAAAAAAATCTCAAGGAGTGGAAAACGGAATAAAAATATAAAAAGTCTGTTCAACTTTAATAAAGATGTTAAATTATGCATCAAGAAAATACCTTATCCTCTTCTCTCACCATAAACATCAAATATTCACAGTGAAGTAATATTTACATCAAAATTATCATCTATTAAACATTAATAAATTATTTTACATATACACACGCAGTCAACTTAACTTTTATGAAAATGAATATACATGTATAAGTGATAACTAGTACTGTAAAATCTGTATTAAAAGCCGCGGCTTCTAATAAAATGGTACAATGCAACAGAGGGGATGCGGCTTCTATTAGAGCATCTACACATATGAGAAATGGTGAATTTTTAGGTCTCAGTTGTTCAAAAAGAATGGGTGCGGCTTCTATTAGGGATGCGGCTTCTAATACAGATTTTACGGTAATACATCACTGAATCATTGACAATGTTCATAATCTTTACTCAGTACAATAAATGGAATGCTATCTACACAGTATTGGGGGTCAGGCATGTATTGTAAGTGGGTCAGGTCAATGAACACATGTTGGAATGTAGTACATGTACGATTCATTATGGACTGCATATTTATTTTCACTGACATTCACTGAGTTTTAATTTCACACTATCAGTTCTATTGTTACTTCAAAGTTCATGAGGATTTTACTTAGTGGCATATACATACATGTATTAGTGAAATTAGAATTCAGTGAATATTTATTGCATCTATCAAAGAATATGACTGTTCACTTTTCAATGACACCATCAGCTTATGAAATGACTCTATAGATTTATGTACATGTGTTTACTTAATACTAAGCAAGGTTGAACTACAAGATCTATAGTTGCTAGATATTGTACAAACAAAATACTCAAATTCACAAAGTCGTCAAAATAACTTAAATTCACAACGTTTTCAATCAAAATCAGTCAGTTCTCATCAATGCAGAATATACATGCATACACAGGACATATTGATTTTGATTTGTTCAATTTCCGGACTTTGTATTGGCCACTGCTACATATTTATCAAGTTATCAATAAAACACACATACAAACTAATGGCAAGCTGTCCGTCACCGTGACAGGAAAAATAAACCCATATATTTTAAATTACAACATTCTCTCTAAATTTATTGTACGTGTAACTATAGCAATATATATATAATTGGGAAAGCTGTCACTGCAATGTTTGAAAATAGGATTGTGCATTTACAGACACCGTTTGCTCAGGAGAATAAGTATTAAATATGGTGGGGACAAACAAATTAAGTTGATTCATGGTATGAGCAGTTTTGAGTGATTATTTAGTGAGCAAAATGTATTGCAGCTTTGCATTTGATGCACTCTATTGAAAATCCAAGCCCATTAAATTCTGTATGTGTTACAGAGCAAACACAGAATATTAAATTTAGAAATACTATTTATACATATTATTAATTAATGCTTTAAACAATGATTTTTTTATTTCTTAAAATTTAAAATTTACAAAATTCAGGTGAGATAAAATACCACCAATCGCAAGCACTTTAGGAGGAGTAATTTGCATAATAACTTAATTATTTCATAGCAGATACTTAATTAATGTTTTGTGAATAGATTATATCACACTCAAATAGTTTCATGAATTATTTATTTTAATTAACACCTGTTAAAAATAGCACAAATTAATTGCAAGATTATTTCAATGAGGAGTTCACACTTCAACAGTTTTTTTTTTTTTTTTCATCAGCCACACAGAACATGCATTTAACTTCAAATTCCAAGAAGGTGTGATATTTTTTAATAGTGAAAATATTTGATGCTTTTTATTTCTAAAATTTGATTGCAATTTAATCCACCAAAGTCAAGTCAAACCTGCATACAATATTTCTATAATTTTCTCAAAATGTTGACCGAAAAATGATAATCGAAAAATACATAAAATGAGTAAAATGTGACAATAAGATTCATGGCTATGATGTAAATTTAAAAAAAAAAATCAAATGATTAAACTAATAATATACTTTGCCAACAAATGCTTTTCGTCAAAAATAATTTCTATATGGTTGAAATATATGTAATTGCTTGTGATGACTTTCAGTATCTGTACCATATACAAATATGTATACCAACAAATGGCAAATATGGTTTTCACTACATGTAGCTATGCTGTAATTAGTACACTTAGAGAGGCAATTATCACAAATGTCAAAAAAGGTCAAAACTACATATAAGTATGTAGTAACTGATATCATCCTCATTACCGGCATCAGTGTTCTCCCCAGAAAACAAAAAAGCAGTGTCTGATAATTTATATGTAAATACAACAATTAACTGTCTATTATTGTTATGATTTTTTTCATCTTATACATGTACATGTTGGTGCTGTTTATATACACAATGTTTGCCCTAGGATTTGTTTGATGGAAATACATATAATGATTCTTATGGTACAGAGAATATACCATATCCGCTGTATTTGAAATGTATTTCAGCCAGACGTACACTTTTAAACAAAAATTGCATCGATTGTATACTGGATCATGACAAAAATATGATTTATTTTGACCGGACTCACTTCTCACTCTTTTATGCAAGTGCATGCGTCTCTTACATGTATAAAGCCAATGTGGTGTGTATAGAAATCTATGTACCGTAGTTACGGGATATCATTAGAAACTACTATTGTAACACTACTCCTAATGTTGTTTATGTAGTAAACAAGAAATTAAAAAAAAAAATATTTGAATTCATACATGCCACCACAGTGCCCTTGATACCCTATTCAGAAAAACATTATACATGTACAAGTAACAATAGTTGTGTATGCATACATTATATACTATCTTAGTACAAGCAAAGAAGTGAACAACATTAGTCTATACTAAAAAAAACACGCATGAATGCTGAATATTGACTGAGAAATGGTTAGTCGATGGTTGGTAGATCTGATTTTATTTTAAGACCCACTCCACATATTAAGTTCGCATATTTAAACAACAAATTACACGTACATGTATGTATGTGGATCTCCCATGAATCGTACAGTCTGAAATGCAAACAACTAGCTCTGACTAAGAACCACTTGGATAATATTTGGTATAAACATACTATTGTACATGTATACATGTATATAGCATTCAATGATAATAGATAGTAATAAATTTACGACTATAAAGTTCAGACATGCAAGCAATGATGAGATCAGTACGACTAGTACTTCTTGTCATTCAGCAACTTGCACTTTTGGCTTTTGCATTGTTATTGTATTAGTACAGTATAGCTTTCACACAAACTGTCATTTTGTGCACTTAATTTGCACATTTATTGTATTAGGGTCTCGCATTAATCACATTTGCATCAAATATTTATTGTTTTGGTGTCACGCAAATGATCGCATGCATATTTGCACAGCTATATTCCTCCGCAATGACAAGCTCAGCGTCTAATGTATATGGATTGCTCATGTCTGCGAGACAATTTCTTTAATAAACAAAATTACAATAGCTGAGCTAGTCTATTCAATACCTAGTGTGGTAGGGTTAAAACATTTTGAATACGATAAATGAGCAACCCAAGTGCGATCGCTCAGCAACGTGTATAAATAGATATAATGATAGTTTGGACGAAAAACAAACTGTAGTTTGGCAGTGCATTGGTAAACATACAAAACTACCAACTAAGACATACCTCATCATACATAAACTGTAGAGTAAGCGCCGATTTGCCAACGCCACCACTGCCCACCATAATCACTTTATGCAATGGGATGACCTGCGTCTTTGGCTTAGACATGGTGCTATGATGCGAATTTCTTCCAAACCAAGGCAGGCAACTCGACACTGCAATAAAAATGGAAACAAGATTATTTCTCACTCAGTACTAAGAAGAACAAACAGATTTCAGCAAGAACCACTCGCTTGATAAAATAACATTACTGAATTTGCATGGAATGAAAACAAACTTTTAAAAACAAAATACTTACAATAATACATGTACAATAAAAGCAGACATAACTTCCTAACATGCGACAAATACAGAATTTATTTATGCTTGTGTTTTCACAATTATGACAACCTTTATTATATATTCAGTATTTTCTCTGAAAGGAGACACATTCAGCTGATTGTTCGTATCATAAATAACAGATTTAGAAACCGACATTTTTTTTTTGAGGGGGGGGGGGGGTTATAATGATTTTAAACTCGAACTCCTGAGTGATTATTTTAGAGAAAATCCTGGTACATGTATCACACATACATACACGAATGTACTTGTAAAAATAGGGCAAACAGTATACGAACACAAGAGATGTTAGATGTAAACATTTATAAAGCAATTACACATAAATCTTATGCATACAGTTTAGCACAATGTGACATGTAGAGGCGAGGTGACTAGGTTATGCAAGTTTAGAACATCAATAATGCAAAGTATATGGAAAAACAATTTATTATTAATAAACAATGATATTACTAGCCATGATCAAAATATTGCTGAGATTAAAAAAAGACAAACAGTCGGTAAAAATATTGTATCGATCAGTCAACATCAGTCAGAATTATTATATTTTGAGTTATAGGTACAAAAAATGCAGATACAAATGCTCTTGGCAAACCTAAACTGTGGTTTCATAGATACATGTATCACTTATCAAAACAGTATATTGCTGTCCAAGGCAGAGATGGAAGATATTGCTGTCCAAGGCAAAGATGGAAGATATCTCTGGCCAGGGGAGAGATGGAAGATATCGCTGGCCAAGGCAGAGATGAAAGTATCACTGGTCAAGGCAGAGATGGAAGATATCTCTGGCCAAGGCAGAGATGGAAGATATCTCTGGCCAAGGCAGAGATGGAAGATATCACTGGTCAAGGCAGGGATGGAAGATATCGCTGGCCAAAGGAGATGGAAGATATCGCTGTCCAAAGGCTTAGGCAGAGATGCAATATAAAGCTGGTCAAGGAAGAGGTACATATACAAAGAGGATATCACTGGCCAAGGCAGAGATGAAAGTATCACTGGTCAAGGCAGAGATGGAAGATATTGCTGTACAAGGGCTTAGGCAGAGATGGAAGATATTGCTGCACAAGGGCTTAGGCAGAGATGGAAGATATTGCTGTACAAGGGCTTAGGCAGAGATGGAAGATATTGCTGTACAAGGGCTTAGGCAGAGATGGAAGATATTGCTGTACAAGGGCTTAGGCAGAGATGGAAGATATTGCTGTACAAGGGCTTAGGCAGAGATGGAAGATATTGCTGTACAAGGGCTTAGGCAGAGATGGAAGATATTGCTGTACAAGGGCTTAGGCAGAGATGGAAGATATTGCTGTACAAGGGCTTAGGCAGAGATGGAAGATATTGCTGACCAAAGCAGAGATGGAAGATATCGCAGGCCAAAGGAGTTGGAAGATATCGCTGTACAAGGCAGAAATGCAATATAAAGCTGGTCAAGGAAGAGGTACATGTACAAAGAGGATATCACTGGCCAAGGCAGAGATGAAAGTATCACTGGTCAAGGCAGAGATGGAAGATACATGTATCACTGGTCAAGGCAAAGATGGATTCGATGAAGATAACACTGGTCAAGGCAGAGATGGATTCGATGAAGATAGCACTGGTCAAGGTAGAGATGGATTCAAAGAAGATAGCACTGGTCAAGGCAGAGATGGAATATAAACCTAGCCAAGACACAGATGCAAAGCTGGCCAATGCAGAGATAGAAGATATGAGAGCTAAATTTAGTTAGACATATGCTCAGCAGGTTCAGTATGACTCACAGTTTTTATGAGCGCATGCAATCATTTTCCCATGACACCACACCATTAGTAAATATGCATGACTGGCATCATTACACTCCCATAAAAAAACAATATTTTGCCCAGGGTCTCTTACTAATAAGCACTGCGGTATTATTGGATTTGTTGATACAATAATATGCATGGGAACAGAAATTATGGTATGCAGTGTTACTTGTATTTGCTGTATTAGAAGCACATTTGCATATGATAACAAAAATCTTGTATACTGAATCATTAAAAAATGATTTATTTTAATCACAAGTATACCTCTGTATTCGATACTACTAATGGAGTTGTATGGTAATGGTAAATACTGTAAATAAATTAGCTACAATGCTGAAAAATTATGTCACAATTACTACCATTACATGTACATGTATAAAGTACTAGTACACCATAAAAGTGTCTTTATTTCAGCTGATCTAGCAAAATGTCAATTCTCACAAGTGATAGTTGAGTGCATAAACTACATCTTGTGTGAGAATTTAAATTTTATAGCAGGTACATTGTAGTTACATGTACCAGCGATGAACCACTTTGATTTTGCAAGAGAATAATGTTAGCGGTTCCATGAAAGGTCATGTAATTTTGTAGCAACAAAAATTTCTCCGAGGTCATACATGTACGACTTGAAGTGTCAGCATTTTTCGCAGAACTTTGTCCATCAAATCGTGAAAATTACTAGTAGAGAAATTGTTTACAGAATTTCAAAATGTTGTACACATGTTTTCCTGCACATTCTTTAAATCCATAAACAAGTTCGCGGACTTTTCTCGGAATTTGATTGACATTTAAGAGGAAATGAATCTTGACTGAAATTACAATTACCGGTATGTAAATTTGATACATAAAGCAATTATTGAAGTCTGATGCCATGGAAAGTATTCTGGCTGAATTTCATAACATCACTTTCACATTCTACATATTTGTAACAACTTAGTAATTTTTTTAAATCCACTTCATTTACGTTAAATATTGTAATACATGTACATGTACATGAATCTGTTTAGAAAGAAGTTGCCAGTCTAAAAAATCCTGAAAATATCTAGAAGGGTAAATTTAATTAAGTTTAATTTGAAGTTTTAATTAATTAACCTTAAAATTTTCACCACCAGTTCCCTCTTCTCATCACATCATATATTCATAAAATAGTACCATTTGTACTTTCTTTCAGACGATTGGAACAAAAATAGCCAAATTTTTTGAGTAAAAACTGAAAATTGACTAAGATTCTGTTGGCTCTAAAATTTAGGCTTGTAGTTTTCAAGAAGAAGTTGAAAAAGTAAAACATTGACACGAACCATGACGAACAACGACGATGGACAATCACTCATATGATAAGCTCCGCTCGACAAAGTCGACAGCAGAGCTAAAAAGTGCAGACAAATTTGTGCAAAAGAGTATGGTAGTGAAAAGATTAAAATTTGTTGCTGATGCAAAAACATCTGTAATCATTTACTGTAAAGGGGTCAATTATTCACCGAGTTTTAATTTAGCTTATTTCGCTGAATGAAAAATGTGCTAAATTAAAACCCAGTGAATATGTAAAATTTAGCATAGAACACATTATCTAAATGATAAAACCATGAATTTAAAACCTACTGAATATGCCCGAAATGGTAAATCAGTGAAATTTAAACCCAGTGAAAATTAGTCATTTTACAGTATTACAAGGACATCTCTAATAGAAGCTTAAACAAAATAATGCATTTCTCATATGCTGGATCACTAAAATAACATTTATTTTGACCACAGTGCACAACTAACAAAGCAAGTATGGTACTGATGTGTTTGTTTGTATAACTTTTCTCATATAAATTAAATGTTAGAATATACATGTATACTGCAAGGCTGCTAAAATCTCTAAATTTGTTGTGTACTGTAGAATACTTTATTTTAGCTAAAATAAATTTTTGCTGAAAAGACATTTTGGGTCTTTTGTATGGAATTTCTTATCACTGATTTCTGATTCTTGACAAATTGAATGTAAAATATAGGAATAAAGGTATATTCGCTAGATTTTAATTTCACTGAATCATTCCTTCAGCGAAAATAGCGAAAATTAATTCCAAGCAAAAATAAAGTATTTTACAGTATAAGAAATTATGCTAGAAATCATAATTATATAACTGAGAATGCTAATATAAGTCACTAAAACTCAAATCTACATTACAAACTCAAGGTAACTTCAGCATGATTGAGTATCATTGTTTATTATGTAATATATACAGGACAAGGAATTAAATGTCAGTTTAGGATCAATCTAAAGTGTAAAAAAAAATACTCAAGGATTAATTTTGATAAACTAGTTATTATAGTCTCATAAATTTCTCATATTTCATATTTAATTTTATGAATCATTGTAATACAAGTCATGTAAGAATTTGTAAAACTTTTGTAAAACTACTATTTTGCAGTTATTTAGTTGAAAACAAATGTAGCATCTGCACCATGTAGAAATATCAGTGTTCTCCCCGGGAATTTAAACCACTGTGGCGGACTAATTTGCATATGATTTGCATATCATTTACATAATAGAGATTGACCAAAGCACATTTACATCCACATAACAAACAACATATATTTTCAAAAACAATGTGGCACATATTTATTTGCTTCATACAGTGTTATAAACACTATTCTTTTGGGATATTAATGAGCTCAGTCACAGTGCAAATATTTTTTCTATTGGAGTCAAAATATTACGTTTCACAATTTTGAAGAGTTTGAATTTAAAAATGAAAAGTTGTCGAATCGAAATGCAAATGCTGCAGACTATTAAAAACAAACAAACAAGTTGTTAAATGAAACGCATTTGAAACGTTTCAGCCAGGAATATGTTCTCGAATTGCATGATCTTATTTACTACAAAAACATTCTCTTTCAAAAAAATTGTTCATTATTCCTACCATCAGCTTCTACAACATTTACATTTACAGTAATGAACGAACAAATAATACTTCCAAACGATCATCAAAGTTACGACGTGACTTAACTTACTTCGCGATGTTATACACCTGTTATACCAATAATTCCTCTTACTCAGTCATGCCATGCAAACAAATTTTTATATATTTTTTTAATATGGAATAAACGTAAAATTTGAGCGATTATTTTTGATCACTCGATCGCTTCGGTGAAAAACACAGACCGCCATGATAACGTGTGACGTATTAGTTGACAGGCATGTGTCTTTTGACCCGATGGGTCAAAAGCGCCATTAATCAATCAGAATACCGCATGGTAATGTCGTCAGAACCCGAAGTTTTCCGAATGGTAGTGATCATAAAAATTACATTGCGGAAGTAAAGCGATGTCCTAGCACGATGTGTTGTTATGGATTTCAGATGAAAACTGCATGATGGTTTTCGAAATAGGTGATAAGCAATTTTTAAAAGGTAAAAAGAAGTCTTGAAAGAAGAGTTTTTACATGATTCGCGATGATAAAAGTTCAAATGTATTTTACCCAATCACGCAATAAACACGTTGTTTTTTTCTTGAGTAGCGTAAACTGATCATGAACTCCGCTTTGCCCATGTTATATCGGGGTGGAATTGATTTTGAAAAATGTTAGCTTTCAATCTAAAGACTGCGTCGATCGTCAAAGTATTTACTTACAAACAAAGAGGTGCTAATTTTACAAAATTAACTTGTATTCTTTATAAGCCATTACCACATCGTGCGACTACGTCTATTGTTTACAAAATATAATCCACGACTGGCAGGATAGGATGCGTGTCGGTCGGTACGTCGGACAATAGTCCTGGTCAGAAGCGTGGCAAGATCCCTGATAGCTACGTATTTCTTTCTATATTTCGTAATACAGTTCACAGGATGAACAATGAAAAAAGCACTGTGGCGGTCTTACTAATCACCGTGGCGGCTCGGGACCACAGTGGCAGGCAGGGAAAGCAGCGTTGCGGCCCCGCACACAAATTCAATGCTGGGGAGAACACTGAATATATAGACCAATGTAATTCCAAAATTGAATATTGAGCAACATCATTTATGAAACATATTTTGCGACATGTTGTATTTTATTTTCTAAATTGAAGTCCCAAACCAGGTGTACATGTACAAAACCTGTATGTTCAACACTATCAACTGTCCCCAAAACATGTTCAATTGCATGTTATCTGGGTATTTTGAAAGGTTGGGCCCAGGCAATTTAATAGTAATGGAAAGCCCAAATCAATGGTCTGCACAACACTAGATATTATGGATTATACTATGATCTGATCTCAAAATGTATCTCTTTAAAATCTGTTGCGTACTAGTAATCCCTTTTGTCTATGCAGTGAAAACATTTTGTTTCATTGAAAGCCAAAAAGATATGTACCCATGGTAGTCTATTTTAATAATTGCCTTCTTAGAATGGGAAATGAAACGGGGCTTTAACTATACAATGTATCAGCAAAATACATTAGAAGAGTGGAACATCTGCATCTACATGTTTAAAATGTAAATAAACAATGTTCAGGTATTATGTGAGGTTAGAGGAGTTTCCAATCTAAAATAAGCCATGCCCTGTTTGATGACTGAAGGACAGCTGGGAGATGATGTCATTGTTCAATACATGTATACATGTGTATGACTTCATACTCAAACTCAATAAGGCACCGCCCTAAGACAGCAAGGTTGGGAGAGGTGAGTATGGGCAATCAACACCCAAGCAAGCTGATATAAATTTACTGCATCGATGTTTTAACTGAACACTGACCCTGTAAGGACAAAACCATATGCTGTTTTCATAATCAATTTCATTTTGCAATAAATTAGATTATTCAGATATTTCTTGCCGGATACAAGTGCTACCGTACATGTACATGTATTATCAATCTACCACTGGGCTAACTACTGTGAACCAATTTCACTGCTAGTAATTTTATTAGTTAATATAAGGATTTTATGGCATTTGTGAAGAAAAAATGTCATGAAAGTAACTGAGACTCTGTGTCATAGAACCTTAGGAACCATTTGTTTTACTGAGTGTAATACATGTATATCAATACATATAGGAAGTATAAAAAATAATATTGATATAGAAAAAAAATATACAAGACAAGAGTTTTTTTGAGAAAAGTAAAAGGCAAAAAATAATATATACTCCCAGTAAAGCAGTTTGATATTTTTATGACTATTTTAAAATTTTGCACTTAATTCTGTAACAACTAGGCACACATACAAAAAATAAGAGCATGGGCAATATTGAACATTTCTGAAACATAAAGTTCAGTCATTCAATGACAATGTTATAAAGTGAATACATTACTTACTGAGTGATACTTGACTACAGATAGAAAGTGGATAAACAGGAAGAAGAAATAAATTCTAGTATAGCCATAAAAGAGAAGTGAAACACAAGGAAGACTCAGAATGTATGGCTTTATTACAGTCTCAGCTGTATTACGTTAACCAACATTTCCCCAGAAATTTGGTGAGTTTTCCATTAGAGAAACCAACTACATGTACAATTACATACATTTAGTAATATATTCATGGTGTACATCTACATGTAAGAATGGGCATGTATGGTGTATGTAAACATGAGAAAAGCAAGTATTATAAAATCAAACTGACAACGTTAAAAAAAAAGTCAACTTACAGAGTTTCTTTGACATAATCAATGAAATAAACGTTTGTACCAGTATATCAAAATTGTTGTCCAACACAAGCCTTCTGTGATGCTACCTTCTTGGTGCCTGGCCAAATACTAATACATGTACTACAGTACTCTGAATATTTATATGGATGGGTGGCATCACACTAAGAAAGGGGCGTTTTCTTTTTTTGTGGCTAGAAGTCATGTTTTGTTATGTTTAGTGTCAGACGTAGTTTTATCTGAATGCAAACAAGATCGATGAGTGACTCACCACTACGACCTTTGACCGGTCATCTCATTGGTGAAATATGCAGTTTGGTTTCAACTCACGGTTCCGAGGGTAGGGCCGAAGAACGACGCAAGACAAGTATCAATGGTGGCTGTTTTAGTGTGTTTTAGAGGTGATAACAGCTCAACACATAACATAACATATATCGTAAGGAAATTATAAACATGGAACTTTAAAAATGTAATGACACTTATTTATATACAAACACGAACACGTTTCCGGGCTGGGTACTTCTGAAATATGTGGAAGTAGAGACTGTTCTTCCAGTTAGACGAAAAGTAATGATGGTAGATAAAAGGATGAGGATCGAAATTAATGGAGACGTTAAGTGACGTTTGGCTAAGAAATTATTGCAACGTAGTGCCGACCACACCAATTCAATAACAAACAAGTCTATTGACGAGTCGGGTGGCTCCCCGCCCATGTCTACTTGTTTAAAGAATAAAAAAAGCAACGATCTAGTATTTTGTTTTACTTACCTTACTGAATGGGTGAGCTTAGTATTTACTGCGCATACAATCGATGAAATTGTCGAAAATAGCAATATCTATATTAATAGATGAAATAAAATTATTAGAAGTACACCTTATTACCCTCACAACTCTATCGACTGATAATTCAAAATGGCGATAGCACAAGGGATCTTGGGAAAGATTTTCTGATTTTAGTTAGGCAGCCTTTTTCGCGAGTAAATATTACGTACATAAACATAAGAATTGATTTTCAAAAGTAATTATAAAATACCTCTCTAAATAATTTAAATATTAATAGATTAATGATTTTGTTATCATATATTAATAGTCGTTGTACTAAATTGTATAAAATGTAATAATAATATCTTAGTGGTCGACACAGGATGAACTCTGAGGTCACTCCTCATTTCAAAATGGCAGCGGGAATTTCTCAAAAGAAAACAGCTAACAAAAACAATGCTTCTTGGGCAAAAACAAAAAAGAGGTGCTATAGTAAAGTGTGGAAATCACTGTGTGTGCTGGTATCAATATTGGTTGTTTTCATGATTCTTTATGTTACTGGTAAGTTATGAACAAACACGTTTTTAAATTGTCTAGCCATGGAGGTAAAAAGATAGCCCTGAGTAGTCCTGTAGGTTGGCCTCCTTCCGTTGATCATTCGGCCCCCACAGTCCTGAGAA